TTTACCTCCTAGCGGGAAGGCTGGAAAGTGAGGACCTAGAGGAAGAAGCAGAGGTCGTGGCCGACTTATGGAGGAGAGCAGCCCTTTGGGTAATCTGGAAAGCATGCAAAGGTACCCTAGAAAACCAATTACCAAACATAGAGGAGAGATGGGCGGAAATAAAAATGATAATACAAACGGAAATAAGAGCCCGCTGGTCCAAAGTGCGAAAGGAACAGCAGAGGATAGTACAACCAGACAAAAGGGAGTTAAGCCGAAAAAGATTCGACAAAACATGGCTTTTAGGGAACAAAATGGCAAAAATAGGAGGAGGTAGCCTATTCTTCGCAAATTGGGACTAATAACGAGGGAAGTTTTCTTAGCACGCACTGACTCACCGCGTCCCCTTACTCACCAGGCATCCTTCATCTCTTAAACAGCAACATGTAAAGTTGCTTTTGGCTAGAACCTCAACCCAGTAGGATTCTCTTCTCGACGACCCTTCCCAGTTTTGGGGCACACTGATTCTACCCAGCACGGAGTAGGCCATACACCCCAATATCTGGATCCGTCCCCACCCTGACCCAACGCGCCCCCACTGCACCATACACCATTTCTGAGAAACGCAAAGTAATGACGCGGCTCTCCAGGAAGGAAAGACGCTCCAGGACTCCTGAAGGCCTTGTCCCTACAAGAGAAAGGTTATAGCAGAGACGAAGACGTCTGCTCAGGCAGAGAGTTTAGGCATAAGAGCGCAGAGGGGAGGGAGCCAGACCCGAGGAGGGAGTGCAGAAGAGAAGAAGTGAAGGAAAATCTCCCTGAACCGACAGGGGGGGACCGGGGTAGACGAACGGAGTGAATCACACATGATGGGAAAGGTGCATCACAAATTGGTTATAGGGGGGAGAAGCCAGACTACACAGACAGGAAAAGAAAAGCCAAGGGAAGACATGTCCAAAAAGGAAAAAAAGACTAGGGGATGGCCAAAATTAATCGGACAAGAGGCAGACCGTATCTCACAAATCCCATGGAAGAAGTTCAAATCAATCAGACCTGTTAAAATTCGGAGTCCCCAATGGCATATCGCATACATGGCACTACCGGTCAACCAATGGCTCCACAAGCGAAGACGAAGGAGTGATCCTAACAGTTCGGACCTATGTACAGTCTGCTCAGACAACGAGCCAGAATATATAGCTCACCGCCTAATTCGCTGCAAGGAAGCTACGGAATATTGGGCCAGGGCCTTGGATCTTTGGAACTCCCTTTTCACATCACCCCTCCCTGAACATCCCACCCAACTTCTTCTCTGGACTAACATTCCTACTGATTTCAACAACGCTGAGAAGTTATGGTATGGCATGATCAGAAAAGTGACGCTCTGGTTGATCCGGAAGGAGAGATGCAGCGGAACCATTGAGGGACTATCAACTCCGAGAGAAAAGGTTTGGGTGGAGACAAAGACCCTGATCCAGGCAGAGATCCTCTGCAGATGGCACAAGATGAGACTCTCCATGCCTGAAGATGAAGATCGACAGCGCAGTATCCTCTCCAGATTCGTCAAGGTCTGGCTGGTGGGGGGAAAATAGCAGAGATAAGAGACTGCAACCTACGATGGAAAAATTGTCACAACTTGGAGACCAGCAGGAGAAGTTCAATCCCTCACTCGATGGGGGACCCACAGGATCCACAGGCCACATAAGGAGTAACAACGACCTTCATTTTCATGTGGAAGCATTTTCTTTCCTTAGTTCTCCTAGCTGATTAAAGCCTATTTGGCAGTTTTCCATAAGGAAATCTGAGAGGGAGTTCAGGGAAAGGCAAGCTGACAGTCAATCCTCCTATAAGGAGCAATTAATGCTGGTCAGGGTTCCTTCGGCCAAACGGAAGGAAGCGTGAGCGTGTTCTATGATGTATCATTTTTTGACTTGCCGGGGGAATAGGAACCGGACTGATGCTCCCCAGAATGGATATGGAGCCAGGACCATAAGGGCCTGTTTGAAAAAAAAAAAAAAAAAGAAAAGCATGTAACACTACCATAAAGGGGAGGAGCGTGTGTGAGTCGTCCCTGCAATTCTTTGACTTGCCAGTCGAATAGGAACCGGACTAATGGTCCCCAGAATGGATAAGGAGCCGGAACCATAAGGTTCTGTTATAAAAAATAAAAATAAAACTTAAAAAAGTGAAAAAAAAAGTAACTTTCTCGGAGGACCTTGAATTTAGGCCGTTGAGAGTGACGGGATTCACGTACCTCATAGTCCCGTTCTACTCCCAAAGTCCCATTTTTCCCACTCTACTATACTCCCATCCGGTAGGCTGTATATCATACGCCGTAGTTTAGATTCAGGCCATACCAAAAGTCACCGGTACTTCTAGGTCTGTACAGTGCATAGATCTATGAGTCTAGAAGCTCGCCTGTCCGTCTATCAGTTGCAGCTAAGTCCATGAAACTCAGATCATTCAGGTTGTCGGAGGCTGATCGTGGTTGCAAGTCACAGGACTCAACATTAGAGTTCACAATTTGAAGCTGCAGCGGAGTACAATAGCCCAACAGCGACCAACGTTGACAACAATAGCTTGCGTGCTGAATACAGAAGTGCTGTTGCGCTCTTGTCCGTTACAGCAGCAGATGAGCAGCACGATGTTAGCCGTAGTCCCTGACGCCCAGCGCCATAGCTTAGCTTGTGTGTGTGTGTTTGTGTGTGTGTGTGTGTGTGTGTGTGTGTGTGTGTGTGTGTGTGTGTGTGTGTGTGAGAGAGAGAGAGAGAGAGAGAGAGA